GGATCCCCAGGATTCTCAAGATATGCCCCTTTTCTCTCTGGTAAATCCCTCATCCCTTTGCAAGGATTTTCATCTCTTTTTTTTTTTTAATTATATGTAAGGGATCTTTGGCGCATAAAATCTTAACGATTCACAGGATCATCGCCAGCATTAATTAAGCAGGATTATGCACATCCTATATATGTATATTACAATTTCAAAGCATAACAATTTTTAAGAGTTTAGCATGTGTTCTTTGATTAATTAGTTCTTCTGAAAGGTTCAGAGAAATTTTAAGAGGAATAATATGCAATGTCTACCAGCCTGTAACACGAAGCATGAAGAGCGCTATGTCTCATATTAAAAAGCCTCATTAGTTAAGTAGCATTTAAAAGTATGAGAAACTCTTTTATTTAATAAATTAATTTTTTAAGATGAGCTATTTTTTGAACTAGTATTTATAATATTGGGTCTGTAGATAATTTTAATTAATCAAGGATTGAGTAAAGTGTTGCGGAGTAGAGCTGCAGATGATATCTGCACTCTTTTTAGGCTCGTGTTTGCAACATGATGATACTTAACTCAAGCATGAAAAAATATTTACATGGTTCTTCTGAAGTGACATGACAGTCTCCAAATTATTGATGAGGATGATGAAGAGCGTAACACTCACCTATCATTACGACACACTGCACAGGAGCTAACTAACTAGTGTAAGTATTGTCTGGTCAAAGACTTTTTATAAAGTCAAGAAACATAATGATTGAGAAAATCGGTTTATTTAGGTAAATTCAACATTTTCAAATGTTAATCTGAGAGACTATTCACCTTTTCCGGCGTGCTATTTTTAACCCATCGCCTGCTGGCATGTGCGTGAGGCGACAAGTTTGATGTATCTTCTTTTATTTTATTTATTTCTAAGCAAGAGTCTAATATATTTTATTTGAAAAGAAATTAAATTGTCACATAAACTAGCTCACAATTATTGGAACTACGAATGTCAGCTTCTCCAATGGCGTGTGTATGGCGTCAACGGCCATGATTCTAACATTCTATCACAATTTCCAGAGTCATCTAGCCAGCTATTTCAACGGGCTCCAGTAGACTCCAGTCAACCAAATAAAAGGCCCGCAGTGGACCCATAAATATTTGGGCCCAACTCGTCTGATAGCCCAAATCATTCAATGCCGTCAGATTTACAACTCGACTGACAAAAACGTTTGATCCCGGACCCTCGTTGTCAAACTTTAAATTTGGCTCTTTAAATTTAATATTTTTATTTTTTTAATTTATAAAATTATATTAACTTATTTATAAATTCAAATTAAATATAAACTTGATTAATTTTATAAGTTTACCTTCAAATATATTATTTTTATATTTTTACCTTACAAAATCGTATCAACTAATTCATAAATTTAGACTAGATGTAAATTTAATTAAACTTATTAAGTTCATTTATTTTTTATCAAGTTGGGCAAGTTAATCATGTAGAACTCAATTCATAAAAGTGATGGAAACTAGTTCAAAGAGAGAGAAAAAAGCTTAAAAAGAAAAACTAATATTAATAGAAAAGGAAAACAAAAAATATAAAAAATAAGATCCTATTTGTTTTCTATTTTCAAAAACTGTTCTTGTTTTTGAAAATAAAAAAAATTAAAAAACTTGTTTTGTTAAATGTTTTCTATTTATTTGTTTGCAAAACTGTTTTTTTTTGTTTTTGAAAACAAAAAATAAAAACAACTTTAAATTATTTTTATTTTATTTTCCTTATTTTTAAAATATAATATATTTGATTATTAAAAATTATATTATGCTGATTAATTTTTATCATTAATCACCTATAATCATCACTATCAATTTATTTTTTTAATTTTAAAAATGCTTTTAAATGAATGTAACCAAATGCATTTTCATTTTATTTTGTTTTGAAAAAAATTCTAAAAACTGTATTATAAAATAATTTTTAAAAATAAAAAATAAAAATAGAAACCAAACAAACCTAAGTTGGCCTACTCTAAAATTTTTATATTTTGTATTATATTTAAATCAAATTATAATTATATATAAAAATTCATAAAAGTGATGGGAACTAGTTCAAAGAGAGAGAGAAAAGCTTAAAAAGAAAAACTAATATTAATAAAAAAGAAAACAAAAAAATATAAGAAATAAGATCCTGTTTGTTTTATATTTTCAAAAACTATTTTTTATTTTTGAAAATAAAAAATTTTTAAAAACTTATTTGGTTAAGTGTTTTCTATTTATTTGTTTGCAAAACTGTTTTTATTTTTTTTTGTTTTGAAAAACAAAAAATAGAAACAACTTTACGTTATTTTCATTTTATTTTTCTTACTTTTAAAATATAGTATATTTAATTATTAAAAATTATAATTATGCTGATTAATTTTTATCATAAATCACCTATAATCATCACTATCAACTTATTTTTTAATTTTAAAATTATTTTTAAATTAATATAACCAAACATATTTTTATTTTATTTTTTTTAAATTCTTCTAAAAACTGTATTATAAAATAATTTTTAAAAATAAAAAATTAAAAATAGAAATCAAATAGGCCCTAAGTTAGCCTATTCTAAAATTTTTATATTTTGTATTATATTTAAATCAGATTATGATTATTTGTTATATATAAATTATTTACTCATATATTTTAATAATTATTTATTAATAAAGATAAATTTTTATGAGTTTATGATTTGATTTTATATTTTTATTATATGTTTATTTAAGCTCATGAGATTTATTTTCTATCCCCTGGATCCAACGTGGGATTTCAAGACATGCTTAAAAGTCACCAACATATCATTTTATTTTATTATGAGTCTCAGTCATGTATGAATATATTGCCCCAATGCCCCGTTCAGTGGGCTTCCATAAACGTCATAAGTATATGAAATTATGTAATTTTGAACGTTCCATACTAACGTGAAGAGAAATAAGATGAAAATTTGAGCCAGATGAAAATCGTTTCGAGGTGCACGAGGAACGTGAATAAAAGAGTAGGGACTGGGGAAACAGGAAGGGGAATTAAGAATCCAGTCGAATGCAAAACGGGCTGATGTGTACATGGCTTTGGGTAAATATTTTGGGGCCCATTGTAGCATATAAAAAGGCCTGAGATGGAAATTAGGGTCGATTTGATGACATGATTGCTTTTATAAACAACTGGAGTCAGAGGAGTTAAAGGGAGAGCCGTAATGGTGTATGTCTATGCCTTAATCCTTCCGAACAATAGTTCTTACGAATTTTAAATTATATTAAAAAGAAATGGTTTAAGAATTGTTCATATTGCATTTCGAATATTTATAACTTAAAGCCAAATGCTCAAGGTGCTATTTACACATGCCACATTTGCAGGGGGGAGAAATCTCGGAAACTAAAAACGTGAAGAAGTTGATGTTAAATATAAATGAAAATGGAAAAGATAAGAAAGGACGGGAAAAATGATTTGAGGTGGGCATCATCTCATTCTATGTATATGCAACTTATTGTCTCTTTGATTATCTCCATCTTTTTGCCCAAAAAGCTGCAGATGATGAAAGGGCTGTGCTGACTTGGATTTGCTATAATTGTTTTAAATTATGAATGTATTTTTCAGTAAAAAAGGGGGCATCACTACGAGACAGCGCATACTGTAAGGAATAGACGTAAAGATGTTATCTTTACACGATCTTCACAGCACGCGATGCTCTTCATCCAATCTTAACAGCACATGAGATGGATTCTTGAGTCGGCATGTCAACAGAACCTGCAAGGTGCGAAGGAACAACTTGTTTTGATCCCCCTCGGCAACCACAACCCACACTTGTACGCAAAGTTTGGGCATCTATCTCCATCCTTCACTCTCCTTTTTTGTTGCTGACTCTAATCAATTCAGGCTCGTGAACGCCACTGTGGGAAAGATATTTTTGTGGCCACAAGCTAAGGCCGAGACTGACTCGGAGTAGAGAATAAGAATGCAGGAACAGTTACAGGGACGAAGGTGGCATTCATGTTGTGTGGTTTCGTGAGGAAGGGACGGCCCTCTTTCATCATTTCATGATGGTTAGTGGACTCCTTCAGCCCTTCCCTTTTGATTTTGATGCTTCTTTCCTCCTCCATCCTCAGATTTTTCTCCTCCTAATCTTTTACCAACGCCTTTTACTCGCTAATCCTCTTTACCTTTACCACATAACACAATTTTCCAAACATAACTCTCCCTCCATTAACAACGACAAGACTTCGATTAATAAATATGAAGAGATTAAAAACATCTTTTTTGTTTTCCTTTCTATTTTCACTTGGGTGCATGAGTTTGAAGTTTTTTGTCATTTTAACGTATACAAATCAAAATATATATTATTTATCTTTCCTTTTATTCCATTTTGCATTCCAATGAAAAAATAGTCGTGCATCTGTTATGAGTTTGTTATCTTGGTTTTTTTGGGCGCGAAGTATGCTTCACGAGAGTGCGACTGATTCCTTATTTAAAAAATAAATGATCATATTGTCAACTTAAAAAATAATAATACATTGGTGATTAAATACTTATCTTTTTTGGAAGAATCATATACAAAGGCCTGGCAAAAAATTATTTATAAAAAGGATGAATATAGAATGAATTATTGTTAATATTAAAATATTTATTTTTCTCAAATGAAAATTTTTAGTAATCATTGCTTGTGAATATCTTTTTTCCCTAGCCCTGTGATTGTCCCAATCTCTTTTGTCGATTGTTAATATTAGAACATTTAATTTTGTATGTCAGTTACTGCTTATTATATGCTCCAAAATCAGGAAGTGGTGCAGAGTCGATCAATTTAATTGAAATGACTAGGAAGGAGGCGTTGAAGCCATCCTCTCAGCCTTGAGTTCAAATGAATTTGCGTGCAATGATCCCATCTCCATTGACACAGGTAGTAAAACACGGTAAATTATCTAGTTGGGGAGCTTGTGGTAACTGGCATAACCGAAACTGCTGCCTGTAATTACGGAACAGAACCATATGTGCTCATATCCTAAGATTAAACAGACTAGCATGAGATTCATATGCTGGAAGGTTTTAATTACATTGATTCTGGTACAAGTACAACCTAGACCTAAAGAGGAAGCTCCCTTGGTCGTGCATGGATTAAAAAGCACCCGCACAACAAGCAACACGAGCTCCTGAACTCTTTATTTTCTACGCTAATTTTGCACACTGTCTTGGACAACACCTCTGCAAATTCCAAAAATTTCATTGCAGATTGCTGCCCATGACGTCCAGAACAACAACATACAAGTGCATGCATGCTCGATCTAAAACAGAATAACGCCACATAACAAGAAAGATTGATGACATCTCAAATAGCAGACCAATCAATCTCCACGGAAGGAAACTTCTCCAGCCCAAAGTCGATGGTCTCATCATTGGAATCCGAGAAATCCAAGAAAGTGATGTCGGATTCAGGGGAAGACGAACCGGTCCAGGATTCATCAGACGAAGGCGACGAAGCCGCGTTCTCCACCTTACAATCCTCTACATCACTTTTCGATTCTGAGTCATCCGGCACCACCTTAGCCTTTGAATCGGCGACGGAACAAGCCTCCCCTGCACTTCCCTGTTTCTGGGCCAAGCTTTCACAAATAGCTCGAAGCTTGGCTTCGACGGAGGAATGCAGAGGTTTGTAATTCCCAAATTCACCAAACACGTGAACTCCTTGGTGTCGCAGATGAGGGAAATTAAGGCGAGCAAACTCACCCCTGAGCTTATAAGCAGCACTGTCATAAGCCAGAGCAGCCTCTTCGGCAGTGTCAAAAGTGCCGAGCCAGAGACGGGTTCGATTCTTTGGGAGTCTGATCTCAGCCACCCATTTGCCCCAATGCCTCTGCCTCACTCCTCGGTACAGTTTCGTGGGTTTCGGAGCATTACGGACACGTTTCATGGGGACGGGTTTTGGGCTGAGGAGACCGACGGATTGTTGGTGTCGGACCTGGAATTGAGCCTGAATCTGAAGAATTTGAGATGGGGTAAGTTGGTTAAGCCCTATGCTACTCGAGAACCCCGAAGAAAATACGGGGGAGCTCGATGTTGTGAGTAGGTCGGGAAAATAGCTGGGCATAGAAGTGGGTGAAGCAATCGAGCGGGAAGGCGAAGATGGGAAAGAGAGGGAAGAGAGAGGAGACGCAGATGAATCCATTGACACAAAAGGTTCGAGCGATTTTATCACATCTTCACTACACGGATCTAACAAATCTGATGCCAGGCTGCTGCTATTAGTATACATACCAATAATTGTCGCCATACTACACCAGATGAGAAAATCACAGGGAAAGAAAATAGGAATCTAAAACCAAATATACAAGAAGACCTGTCTCAATTTCAAAATCAGAGCACAGGCTGAAGAAAGCTGCAACAGAAGGGAAAAACAGAAAGTTTTAGAAAACCTGAATCTCCACCTGAAACGCCGGACTTTGAAAGTATGTGTACGAGACCATGAGCACGTTTATAGAAACTCGAAAGTTCAGTTTCAAGGACAGACGATGACAGAGAGGGATCCCAGAAGCGGGAGATCAGAGAAAGGGAAAGGGTTAGTGAAGAAAGAAGATGAGAAATCTAAATCACTCGTGGTTTTTTGGGTGGTGGCCTCACTTTGGTAGCTCCTATCCTGCAGTGTATGGGTCACTTCCTCGATTTATATAGCCCGGTGCTGATGAGATTCCAGGGCCAGGAAAGAAGCATCAGCCTTGTTTACTCGAACCAATCTGTTGCCTCGTCAACTTCAAGGATACGGATGCCCCTATTGGATGACGGACCGCCTATAGGAAAACGACATGCGTGATGGGGTGCCACACCCTAAGAAGTGGGGTACACGTGTCGTCGTTGAATTGGGTTAAATACTGCTGACAACAGCCGCGGCGGGCTACCCTCTATAGTTGTCAAACTTTTGGTACTTAATGCGTTTTTGTCTTCGCCTGGCATGCCATGTTTTATACATTAAAAATATTGTAATCTATAGTAGGGACTAGGGAAGGATTGGAGAGGAAATCAGGAAATAAAATGGTGGGGTGAGTTTTGATAGAGATGAGTGTGAATGTGGTGGAAGAGAGCTCTGGAAGCGGTAAGTGCAACCACGTGGAGTGGTTACTCAAGCCCAATGAAGCGCAGCTTCAGATACTTTAAGGGAAAAATTTGAAACTTAATTTCAAGTAAGTTTAAAACTATTTTAAAATTTTAATTCAATTTAAAGAAGAAAAGTTAAAAAATTTTTATCAAAAAAAAAATAAAATATTTTTCACTTATTACGTAGAATTATTAGTTATTAATTTTTTTACTACACTTGTTTATTTACCCTGTAAATTACATAAATTTGTCAAGCAATCAATAACATTAATTGTTAATTTATTAATATTAATTATAAATTATAAAAATTTTTAATAATTTACAATTGATATTTGTAAGTTACAAGATCTATCAGTAATTTACAACTGATGTTAGTAAATTAATAAGTAAAATTTATAATTTAACAATTAATGTTGCTACTTATAATTAAAAAATTAATGTTAAATCTTATATAATTATTGACATGTCAACTCATATAATTTATAACTCATATTTATAAATTAATAAGTGAAGTAAAAAAATAAACAACTAATATCTTACATAACAAATGAAGAGTATTTGAACAAAATACAGGAACTCAAAATTATATTTTTTTCAAATATAATTAATGATTATGTTTTGTTTGAATTACTATAAATAATTATATATATATATATATATATGTTAGGTTGGATATTTTCTAAATTAAAATCATATTTTTAATATTTGTATAATATTTTTATAAATTTATTTACATATATCAAAAATATATTGTATTCTATATTTTAAAAATAAAAGTATCAACATGTTATATACAAGTATTTTCCAGTTTAAGCTGAAAAGATTGGGGCCCACTCATGCGTCACTGCCAGCGTCGTCACACCAGAATAATTATTTTATAATTATCACGTCCCCTAATTTTCTCTAGAAATAAAAATCAGGAGCCATTGTTTTAAAAGGAAATCAAGATGCCGCAAACAAATCGGACCCTAGGGGTTGCCCAGTGGACGAAAGACGGGGAATGGGATCTTTGAAGGGTGCGCCCACATCTAAATAGCGCGAATAAAACCATGACGAATATGTTCTTCGAATTTTTATTCCCATGAAAATATTTCCTTTTATTTAAAAATATAAAATATTTTTTAAAAAAATCAGATATTTAAAAATATAAAGTATTTTAAATTTTTTAAAGTGTAATCATTATTTTTTTTAAGTGCTCCTATTGATAGAGATAATAATATTAATAGAAGTAAATATAGAAAAATATGATTAGTTTAAAAATAGGCAACTATTTTATTGAGGATGAAGTTCGGTTAAAAATACCTTACATTTTTTAATGGAGGGAGTATAATATTCTTTTATTCTTAGTTTCATTTTATAATGAGAGAGAAAGAAGAAATAAATTCACAAACACAATAATCAAAATTAATAAATAAATATAAGAAGTAAAATAAAAAATTATTTACAAATACTAAATTATTTATATTTTGGATCAAAATTAATTAATAAAAAATATTTATATTTTAGACAGGAAAGAGTAAAATATTGCAAAGATATAATTTTAAAGTTAAACAATTAAAAAAGATTAAAAATAAAAAAAGAAGTAATCATCATCAAAGATACCAAAGATTGCAGGATTAAAAAAATGTTAACAGAGATTGAATATCCAAAGAGTAGAGGTTGATGGAAGCCCCTTTTTTTAAAAATGAGAATAGTTTACATAATTTATTTGTATTCTTTAAAAATAAATAAGAAAATGAATAACATTATCTATGTCTCAAATATTAAAACACTTTTAGATAAAATTATATATATAAATAAAATTTATTAAATATATTTTACAAATTTATTTTTTAATATTTTATTTATAAAGGAATATAAAAAAATATATAATAATAAAAAATTTAAAAGGGTGGCAGCAAGGGGCAGTGGCCCTCCCATACTTCAAATTTTATTTAAAAACAAGTTTAATTTTGTTTGTGAAAAATGTAAAAATCAATGCTTGACTCCTACATTCAGATGAAATTTCAGTTTTAACTCCATACTATAATTTATGGATTCATCCTTGTTAGATGATAATATTTAAAAAGTAATATTGATAAAATTTTATTTTTATTATAAAATGTGAATTTTTTTAAAAGTATGTTATAATTTGAATTTTGAAATAAAGGAAGTGGAGGCAAAGTCAAAAGGTTGACGACGAGAAGCGTGGCGTGGAAGAAACGTGAACGTGAGCGCTGAGCGGAGAGGGTGCGCTTTCATTGGACGCGATTCCTTCTCACAACGGAAAGGTGGGACATGGCATCACTTTCAAGCCACGCAAACCCCATTCAGACTTTTGAATTTATTTCCTTTTTAAACTTTTCTGACTCAAAGGCACTTCCCATTTAAACTTTTTAAACTTTTCTCGGAGTGAGTGAATTGTCTAGGTGGAATGCCTTAAGAATGTTTAAGGTCAACCACAGCAGCCATAAGGAGGGGTTAAAATTGGGAGAATGATAGTTAAATTTTAAAGGACCAATTGATTTAAGCTTCAACTAAATTTAAAACACCAATAACGTCTCTTATTCTTCAGTGATAATAAATCTGACAAGGATTTACAAATTTAACTACTAATTTTGTAACTTTTTTTTTTAAATTTTAATAGAAAATATAAATGTTTATCTTTAATATTTATAAGTATTAAATCTAATAGTTTTTTAAGAATTTGCAAGTTCTGTTCCTTGTTTTGCAACTTAATTGTAATACATTTGTAACTTGTTTTCTTATTTGTAACAGAAAATACAAATATTCATCTTTAATATTAAAAATTTTTAAGTCTAACAGATTTGAGAATTTACAAGTTGGGTTCCCAATTCTATAATTTTATTGTGATAAATTTTATAATTTATTTTTTAAATTTTAATAGAAAATACAAGGGTTTAAATTTAATATTAAAAAATATTAAGTCTATTGTTTATTATTTGCCTATTGCTTGTTTGTCAATAAAATAAATAGATTCTTCATTGTCTATTGCTTATTTTTCAACCTTTTTAAAATTAGAAAATCAAATTGAAAAGTATCACAACAAAGTTATAAAATTTAGAGTTGAATTTATGAATTTTTAAAAATATTAAATTTGTTACCATTAAAAGACCAAGAGACTTTTTGACACTTTAAAATTGATTGAAATTTAGTTTAAATTAATTAATTCCTTGAGAATTAACAGTCATTCCCCTGCTAAAATTTGGTGTTAGCCGTTCATGATAAGCTTCGCTAACGCTGGATTCAATCAATCACATGGGGCATTCCATCAATCCAACCCAATTCTTGAAGTATTCCGCAATTAATTAATGAACTCATCACATGCAGTATTTAGCAAAAATAAAATAATAGGAGCAAAAGGCTGTGACTCCACGTGTAGACAAAAGTAAGTCCTTACCTAAATTAATCCAAACTCAACAACTGAGTGCTTCATTCTTTTAATAATGGCATGGTCAAGAGGCACCTCTTGTTCCATGTGCCGCCATGTGCGTCTCTAAGCTCAGTTGCACAAAATATACCCCCCTATTCATGCTCTATTGGAAATGCGTTGACCACACAAACAACGGTGCACTCCAGTTAATGCATTGCTCAGCAGCTACAGTTTCATCCATACTTATACTGAGCATCCTTGTTCATTTTTGGATATTCTATTTCAAATCTATCAATACCAGGGGGCTGGGCCACGATATCAATGAGTGGTCCATAAACTTGCCTCACGAATTCATTTTCCCTTTTTCACAGATCACAAACCAGCTGAGGTAGATCGACCACATCATCTAATTCAAATTTATGGGCCTTTTTCCTAGTTAGCCCACAATAAAGTTGGTAAATAACAACTTTTGGACTTCAAAAGCCATTCATTTAAGTCTGTTTTTATAAAAATTTATATTTAAAAAATTAATAATTTCTTAAAAAACTGTGCTTCAAAGCCAACCCTTATAAACCTTAAAATATAGGCCTAGCTTGGATAGCCTTTCAAACCCAATTTCTCTGTCTTCCCCCATTTCAAACACATTATTTTGGCTTAGCATGATACACTCTTCTTCCATTTCAACCCTAAGTGCACTGTTCTTTCTCATTTCAACCCTAAGCTCATACGACACTCTTTGACCCAACGAAGCTACTCTCCTTCTCGACCTCTCCTCACGATCTCCACCTCTCCTCCCTCTCCTAGCAATCTCTAATTTTCAATTGCAAGTGTTGCTATGGGTGCTCAATCATGGTGCTCTCCTCACGTAGTCACGAATTCATGATGCTAAGGTGCTCTCACCCCTTGATCTCAATTGCTAGCTCCCCTCTCCCAACTCCTCTCAGTCTCAATCTCAACAACGGTAGCTCATGGCATCATGACGCTAAGTCAATAGCTTGATCTCGAACTCAACTTCTAGTCATGGTGCTTGTTGTTTAGTAGCTCCCCTCACTCCTCTAATTCTTGATCTTGACTTCAAGTAACATTGCTCAATCGATCTCCTCACTCCTCTTCATTTTCTTGTCATGTATCTGAGGTTGATGATATTAGGGTTTTGCCAAGTTGTTAAGGATTTTATAGTTATGTATTTTTCTTTGATCAATTTTAATAAATGTTGGGTTTCAATTTTTGATTCTTGTTATGTGTTCTATATTGCTACTCTCGTTTGATGTTCATAACATTATTTTGTAAATTGATATTTTGAGTTGATTTTAAAACATGAAGTTAGGTTATAATGTAGATTTTCTAATTCTATGTGATCATATTAAGAATTTTCCATTGGGTACATTGATTTTGGATTTTTGGATTTTAATTTGCAATGCTTAATTTATTTATTTTTTTAAAAAAGGCTTATGAATTTGACTTTGAGTTATTTGAATAAAAGTTACGCTTCACAAAAAGAATAATTTTACAAAAAAACTGAACCTCAAAACTTGAGCTTATAAAAACGAAGCTCTTGTAAAGAAAGTGCACTCATTTCCTAACTCTAACTTTGAAAAAAAAACAAACTTTAGTTGCCATCATAAAGTACTATCACAAACAATTTCAACTTCTATAACCTTGGTAATATAACCACCAGACAGTCATTTGATCGTGATGACCTATGAAAACAAATTTCAGCAAGTACAATTTATTAATATCCAACGTCCCATTTGATTATTAAAAAAGCATAAAATAAAATGAATTAAAAAAATTAAAATAAAAATAAATTAAATCACTATTTTTTTATGATACGCATAATAAAATTTATTAATATATGATATAAATGTGAAAATCATTATACTCTTTAAAAATTTTATAAATCACAATTTTCAATTCATAAACTAATAATTCCTCTCCTAATAAATGTAATTTACATATCTTTTTTAATCATCTTACAACCAAATGGAACCAAAGTGGAAGCAGAACCATCAATGATTCCCCAATTCCAAAGGCTTCAGATATATGCCAGCAATCCCAGAGGCAGATTTGTTTCACGTCTGACGAAGGAAACGACACGTTTCGATATATGATTTTAAAGTACTCTACAGGTACCTTGTCCGTTGTAACAACCCATAAACACTGGTGAGTGAATACAAACTAACATAAGGGCGCGCGCGCACAAACATATATATATATATATATATATATCAATCTTACAACATAAGAAACATTTCATCACTAGCGACTTTGAGAACGCCTCTTGTCAATCACCTCTTGATCATTCTTGAAGCTCTCCCTCAGATCTTTAAGTTTTTCAAAACTTGATTCCTGAAATATATAACAATATTATCAAACATCAGGGGAAAGAAAATAAAATTTATAAATTGTAAATCAAACAATAGAAGTCAAGTTTTGTCAAGAAAGCAGAATATCTACAATTATATTGATAGAAGTATATACCAATTACTGATCCGGCAGACGTTAAAATTAGAACATGGCTCGGGCAAACCCAGCGCCCATTTGACATACGACTTTCTTACCCTTGACCAACAAACGAATTCAATATTTTCTTGCAGCATAGTGAACTACAGAAGAGCGAATGAGCACTCCAGACTAAAAATTGAAGATTGTAAACCATGCGAAACTCAAAACGGGCAAAAGTTAGGGAACTTACGAGCTGGCGACTTTCGTCAGCCAGGGTATTCTCCATATGACCAAACAGTGACCTCCACTGATCCATTAGGTCCAATTCTAGTTTTGATGAGTCCGCAGAAGTTCGTTGACTGTACACAGCATTATCCTTCGCTCCAGAAATTTTCTGAACCAGCTTTGCTGCTTCTTTCTGGCTCTTCTTCAAAGCTAGCCAAAACAATTCTTTTTAGGAAGAACATTAAGGAAAGTGTACGATGGTTAAATTGATTGTGGTATTGAATGTGGCCGAGCTAGTTGGCTAGACACGGAATTTAGAAATTCCATAAGCACTCACCGCTTAATCTACCTTTGATATCCTGGTAATGGAGGTCCGACCACATATAAGCAGCTATTTATCAACATAAAACGCTATGTTTAGGTACTCAAATAAAATATATTCCAATTTGTAAAAGATCAGAAACCATAAAGAGAAATTGAAACTACCAGTAGAGCAGAAAAAACAAGAGCAAGCTTTGAGAGGATCCTCGTCCTCGGTTGATTTTTCACTGCCACCGCCCTTAAGTCCAACACATCTTTCCAGCCCAGGAAATTTGGAATCCAGTGAACCAGAGATTTTCGAACATTCAGTTGCCCCACATTTGGAGGAGGCCAGTTTGGGAAGACTTCGGTCCCTTTCTTCATTTGCTGAGTCATGATTTGCCAATTCTTGCGAATCGCCCGCAGCGTGTCTGCCTTCGATACAAGCTTTCTTTGAGAAATGTAAATCCCCACCAATGTTATCAATCTTACAACACCCATGTCCAGATTCAGGAGCCGGGTCAACCGAAATCGATGAAAACGCCCTCTTCTGGGGCCGATTCGTGCAGTCAGCCAGAGCAGTACGGGTTTCCGCAATCCCATCGCTAAAATTATCTCCACTCCCCATGATTTACTTCAGGGAGAGGGGTTAACAGCAAAATTCACGAAGCCAGTTTAAACAAAATCAATCAAATTTTTGAACCATCCTCATCCGACATCCGCCGTAGAGAAGTGCTGAGTAGAATGCAGCTATACCTAAGGAGCAAGGGGAACCCTGTTAATTGTGCGCAATGATACCTACGAAGAAGGGGGAGAACAAAACCCGACGGGGTTTAGTCGAGAAATACAAACCTTGCTATGTGGACGAGTGGTGGATGTGAGAGAAGTAGAAGAAGCATCAATGGGAAAAGCTTTGCCCCAGATACACGGATGGAGAAAACCTAATCAATGTTACGAGAAAACAAACAGCGATGGCAGGAAACCTCCCTAACTTAGACGAGGACGGTGAAAAGCGAGCATCAGACCAGCGACTATTCCAATTTTGTTACGACTATTCACAAATAAAAGGTGAACATCAGACCAGCGCAAAGACGCAGTGGATACGGACTAATACACAGACGAGTGAAGCACCAGCAAGAAATAAAGTTCGAAGTAAGTACCCGGGAATAAGCCGATCGCCGGCAGAAGACGGAGGAATCGACCGACGAGAGTGCACCACGCGCCACTTCAGTAGCGAGGAATGGCGGGAGGGAGAGCAGACTGAGCGAGCACGAAGCTCTAATAAGGGGCATCAAAGTCTTTCGGACTTGAAATCATCGTCAATTCTTCAATTCAATTGTATATCTAAAACTTCGATGACAATCGAAAAAAACGCGCGGGTTCCTTTTTAAATGATTTATTTCCTCGGTGTTATCGGCGGGCTTCCGTGTTGGCGGGATTTAGGGCTGGGGAGTTTCGACTAATCTACGTTTCCGGCTTCTTCATTTGGGAGGAAATGCATTCATTGACATCCTGCGGAAGTGGAAGACGTGGGTGTTGGTTGTTCTTCCTTTGGGCCACGTCTTCTGGGCCCGTCTTAAATTTGGATTGAGGGCTTTTGATTTAGGAAAATACAGGCGTTACCAGATATACCAGCGACTTAAAGCCATAATAATTAACACAACCTTAAAAAGATTACCCAGCAGCATCCATCTACCATCATAAAGTCCACAGTTTACAAAAATCTGAATTAGTTTGGAACGGACAAATAACCCAACATATCCGAAGATATCAAATGATTTCGACCAAAAAAAAATCATAGTTTAAGTTAAAACATTTAAAATATCAATGTAATTTAGCTGCATTGCTTAATTTGAGGTTATATGTTGGCTTTGTAATTATCAATGACTATAAGTATTCTCCAAAACTCTATATATATAATAGAAAAATAACGAGCCCTCTTCTAAGCTTGTCATGTATACATTTGTTAAAATAATGCGATTCTAAATCATCCTCATCATTTTGTGGGGAAAAAAAAAGTTATCCTAATCGTCGTTAATTTCTAAGATCATTTTTCAAAAATAATATCATCATTATCCCTAATAAAATTGACAACAACTGCTTTTTCTTATCCTAAAATATTCCCTCCCATGATCTCAACCATAAGTCCATGACTTCCTAACTAATTCAAAATTTTAAATTTTATCTTAACAAATTTTAAGTATCATAACTTCCTCACCCCAAACCCTATTTGTGAAATTAATCTTAATTATAAATTATAATTTAAATTTGCAATGTGAATTGGTTATTTGTAGCTGTCAACTAACTCACAATTTTAAATTTTAATTTTAAAAAGCTTAAACAAACTCCAAGTGTCATAACTTCCTCGTCCACATCCTGTTTGCGAGATTAACTTTAATTATTAATTATAATCAAAATGCGCAATATGAATGGGTTATTTATGAATTAGATATATTGATTTAGTTTGAAAATTTATAATGAAGAAGTTACCACGATCGACTCTGTCTCTTTTTCTTACTTCATGCTTTGGAAGAGTCGAAGATGGATATTTTAGTTTTCTAACCGAACGTGCCGTCCAGTGATGCCGAAAATCATTCCATTATTGTTTGTGGAATTAGATTGATATTTTAGAATTCAAATTGCCCGCCATTGATTTCTTCACCACAGGTCATAGTTCTTCCTTCATCCGCAGTGTCATTTTTGTTTTTCTCTTTTCACTTCTCCGCAGAGCTACCTTGAAAGCCGATGAGTAAGATGTGGTGGCTGTTCAGTTTCGAATGGAGTCAAAGGAAATGTCAATTCTCGAAGGTGGTCACCAATGTAGATTCGAAAGCCCAATAAGTAACAAGATGTTGCTGGAGTCAATGACATCAAAGGCATCGCAAGGGTAACCTCACTTTAATGACATTCAGGTGCTCGCACCAAGACGACGGTGAACTTCTCACCTCTCACTTTCAAGTTTCACATCTACAACACTCGCCTCTCTTTATTGTTATTTTTTTTTATGGTCTTTGGAAATCCAATTAGGAATTTTGAAATATATTTTAATGAAGACCCACGATCTTCAATTTCATGAAACAAAGTACGATTTGTTTTCATTTATATATTTTTTTTCCAGACAAAAACTGGGTCCCAATAGGAAATAATATAACGTCCATGAGCCCATACTCAGAAAGCAGTTTCGGAAAGCATGCTCCAAGAAGCAGTCAATTGCTGAAATTCTCGTGGTGATGCCTCATGATTTGATTGAGATTGAAAAAAGCGGAGGAGGAGGAAGCCATTTATCATAGGCAACTTTATTAGGAAACTGGTTTTTGCATCAAGCAAATGATTGTGGGCACCGTTTTGGCTGTAGTGATTGAAATTTCTTAGCCACCAGTGACATTATTTTGTGCAAGAGTTTAGTTGCTCCTTCCCTTTTTATACAAAATAAAAAATAATATTAATTAATTATAGCTGGTTTTAACTTTAAAACTTTTTAGCTCGTGTGAATTTAGTTCTGAATATGGTCTTGTATTGCAGAGAGGTGAAGAGAGAAAGAGTGCGGCAACTTCAAGCAAATCTTTACATGAGCATCTCTTGAAATATCTACCAAAGTATATTTGATTATTGATTTGCTATTCATCAATCTTCTTATGTGTTCTATTGCATCTATTTTGATTTGATTGTTAGTTTCTTGTTCATTTAAGAGTAGGTAATAGATGTTTAGGTTTGATGTAAATGCTATTTCTAATGATTAATAATTTGAATAAAAACTTTATTATATTAAATCTCTTATCATATTGAAAAATTTATCATCTTTATAAGCAGGAGAGACTCAAATTTGCATAAAAAGCTTGTGATTGTACTATGACAATTGAAAGCTCATATTAATCTTTATGGAGTGAGTGGATAATTGTCAAGCATGATTGGAAACTAAAAATAGGCTTGACTAGTTGGAACCGACCAATAATAATTGATTTGTGCAAGCTTCCTTGCCTTCTCTCCAGAGCTGTGCAAAAGTTTTAAAACTTGATTAGTCTAGTTTAGTCTAGCATAACCAAGTCTACTCTAAATAAATAAATAAAAAAACCCGAAGCAAAATAAGATCAAACTAGACTGGGTTAGACTAGGTTTCATTTTGGACTTTCAAACTACATGATTTGGTCAGAGTCTGTGCTCTATTTTTTTCATAATGTTGCTTTGCTTTCCCCTTAATTTTAATATTATTATATCAAAAGTTCTAAAGATCTAAACACATCATGATATGGATCATGTGCAGTGAAAAAAGGGTGCAGGGGATGTGAAGTGGAAGATCTTGACCATTAATTCTTATCTAATAGCTAGTAACAAATAAGCGTATAAAAAGTTTCTCATTTACAAACACACAATTACATTTTATCTAAAATAAAAATTTATGAAAAATATATTATTTTTAATAAATCTATTAATAACTAATTTGGACCATAAAAATTTTATCCAAATGGTCCAACTTAATATTATTTTTTATGTTTATAAAAACGTACTTTAGAGTCTGGACATTTTATAGTTAATATTAAAAATTTTTATAATCATTATAATTTTTTATTTTGATAAATATAATATTAAAAATAAAGATAATATTTCCAGTTCTTTTCAAAAAATATTTTTTTAAAAAAATTATAAATTAAAAAATTTAAATATGAACTAAAATTAAATTTAAACTATTCAGAGTACATCTAGATAATTAATTTATGAAAAATAAAAAAAATAATATTAAATTAAACTTAAAATTTATATTGTCTAAATTAATTATTAATAAATTTATCAAAAATATTATATTTCTATATATTTTATTTTAAATAAAATGTGATTGTATTTTTATAAATGAAAAATTTTTTTATATACCTATTTATTATTAGTAATTAGATAAGTATTAATGATCAAGATCTTTCACCTCCCATGCACCCTTCCCCACTGCACTGCACTGCACATGATCCTTATCCAAACGCATCATCCTCTTGCCACTTCACTCGTCTCCATTCATCTTCAGCCGCCGTCTCTACTCGCCTTCTCTTCTCCTATTTCGACTTCCTCATGGTGGGATTGCATCATCAAGTTTAGAGTTCAGACTCATCCATTGCCTATCATCTACATCTTTAATCATTTTCCTTCTTGGCTCTCTGCTTCTCGACTCATCATCCTCTGACCTTTTCCTTCACTTTGAAGATGAAGAGCCACGAGTAGGAAAAAGATGATGAAGATGGTGTGAGGAGGAATCGAAGGGCGAAGATGGGCTTCGATCATCCACATCCAGTGATTCCGTTGATCAAGTCTATTGATTCTGTTATAAGTGAGAGATTGCCATTGATCTACGCTTCCTCCTCCTCCCCACCATCAACTTACGATTACCTTCATCCTGGACGTCGATCTGAGCTTCTTCTTCCTCAACGATCCTTGATATGTTATTGAATGCCTTTTCTCCCTCCTCTGTAACTCTGCTTATCAACCATTAAAAAAACGGGGTGAACATAGTCCGATAGATTGATCTGCCAGTCGGCAGACCAAGTCCGGTTCAGCCTAGTTTACTCTGGGGTTAGACCCGACTTTAGACAACAAAATCTAGTCTGGAGTATTTTCACTTTTTCAGGCGAGGCATCAGGTTGACACTCAGCCCAGTCTTTACATAGCCCCACTTCTATTGGTACTCTTCAGTGATATCTTTTATTTTACATTAATTAATTAATTTTTTGTTAAGTTCAATTCTCCCGCTTACACTTATATCACTGAATTGTATTAATTTTATAAATTATTAAATAAATAATTTTATATAACTGAAAAAAATTAAAATATGAATTTAAAAATAAAAATATGTGCGAGTTAAAATTTATTTTCTGGGTAGCTTAAATGAATTTTGCACAACATCTATGCTTAAAAATGAGTATTTTAGTTAAACATATGTAGTTAATTGTTAATTAATAGTTGAGTAAATGAAAATAAAATCCTTAGAAAAGCTAGTATAACTTTTATAAATAGAATAAAAGATCAAGGTAAATTATGAAGGAATCGATATATTTTACTTGAAAATATTAATATGTAATTCTTTTTTATTCAAATAAATCGGGTTTCAAAAATTAAAATCTTAACAAAATAATTTTACTTTCGAATAATCGTATTCAAAGTCAGGTTTGACATACGTAACGAAGTGTAATAAAAGATAACTAAAATAAAGAATTTTCTATCAATGAGAGCAGCCTTTTTGCCTTTCAAATTTAAATAACACTGTCTTGTAGTATACCCAATAATTGATCTATTTCTATAAAAAAGGATAAATAAAAATTAAATATATATTCCAACAATCTAATTAATCCAAAAAATACATTAAACTATGTTGTACCATTTCATGTGTTAATAAAAATTATTTATTTATAACAAATACTAATAAAAATTTCTTTCATACGTGCACGGGATACTTACTAGTTAATTTAACATAAGAATAATTTTATAATGTTTTAGTTAGAACAGATAAAAGATAATTAATTCATT